CGGCTAAGTCTACGGATACCATGATGCTACTTGCACAGACCCCTGTGGTTAAGTATATGTCCTTGTGCAATGAAAGACCTGCAGAAGGGACATCTTTCTAGCCTCATCATCAAGAGCTACTCTGTTCTCTTGTACACACTGGCTTAAAGACTATTAGTGGGGTTGACTGTTTCTTGGCATAGGGTTTCTTGGTTCTCACCACTGGTCAAGTGAGAAATTTCATAAATAAATTTCGGTACCTAAAAAAAGTAAAAAAATAAAAGGAGTACTGAAATCATGTAGTAATCATTGGATGACCCAAAGCTAGCCTTGACATGCCCAATTAAAACCAGATGGGAATGTACCAGCTCTTCACTGAAGAGCCAGAACTACTTTGACTGAGACAGGGTTTGCTGAGACCTGAGCAAGAAGAGTAAGAAACTACCAATAGGGAGGAAATGCTGCCCACCTGGGAGCAAAGGAAATATTCTGTAATATTAAATGGGCCTATTTCGAAAAAAAATTTTTTAAGTGGATAGTTTTATGAGTTCTACAAATGTAAGATGATTTTGCTATATGAAACTCTTGTGTGCAAATAACCTGCGAACAAGATCCAACAATATCTAGATGAATGACGCTGACATTACCAACAAAATATCAACGGCTGATCCAGACCCTAAAGCCATGGCAGGAGTTCTAAATCTTACAGCAGAATCTTCTGGGCATCAAGGGTGGACATTGACCAGTGATAGGTGAGTTGTGGGGGTAACAGGAAATGGGGGTCACACCGAGGAGGGAAGAATTATACTGTATTTCCTTAAAATTTTTTTCATGGCTTAAAAAATTATGCAAATACTATCTGCTCATTCTAGAAACCCCCCAAAATAAAACAGGCCAAAAATCAGATTTTAAAAAAATTCTCCTTTAATTCCACCCAGAGGCCAACACAGTTAACACTTTGACATGTATACTTTTTTTGTTTGTTTTTAAGATTTTATTTAGTTGTCAGAGAAAGAGAGAGAGAGAGAGCACAAGCAGGCGGAGGGGTAGAGGGAGAAGCAGGCTCCCCACTGAGCAAGGAGCCCGACGCGGGGCTCGATCCCAGGACCCCGGGATCATGACATGAGCCAAAGGCAGACGCTTAACGACTGAGCCACCCAGGTGTCCTGATATGTATACTTTCATAGATATTTCCTCTGTGTGTTTTTCCAAAAATAGGTTTATATTATATATGCTGCTTTGTGACCTGCCTCTTCACTTCGTAGTACCTGGTGTACACCTTCTTTACCCTATGAATAAACAAAAGATGATGTGCAACATAAAAAACTGACTCAGATAAACATAGTAAGTATGTGCCAGTTCCTTAATGAAGGAACCAGGAGAATGGTAAAGTTGGTTTATTTATTTATTTTTTTAAAGATTTTATTTATTTATTTGACAGAGAATGAGAGCAGGAACACAAGCAGGGGGAGTGGGAGAGGGAGAAGCAGGCCTCCCACGGAGCATGGAGCCCGATGTGGGGCTTGATCCCAGGACCCTGGGATCATGACCTGAGCCAAAGGCAGATGCTTAACGACTGAGCCACCCAGGTGCCCCAGTAAAAACAGTTTAAAGGAGAAACAAATGTATATATATAGTCAGTGAGGAAACATTTGCTTAACTAAGATTCCTAGATTAGATATCAAACTGGTGATGATCTCCAAGGCAATGGAATTGTATCCTTTGAGGTTATATTTTCTACTGGACAGAAATAATTTGTATCTTGAATGGACAAAATTATTTGCAACTTATTAATCTATCATTCAATATCAAGTGTTGAAGAGGCTAGGCCCATAAGTAAGCAGTCACTCAACAAAAGTACCTTTCTTGGTACAATTTTTTTTTTAAAGATTTTATTTATTTATTTGACAGAGACACGGCAAGAGAGGGAGCACAGGCAGGGGGAGGGGGAGAGGGAGAAGCAGGCTTCCCGCGGAGCAGGGAACCCGATGCGGGGCTTGATCCCAGGACCCTGGGATCATGACCTGAGCTGAAGGCGGACGCTTAACTGACTGAGCCACCCAGGTGCCCTGATCAGAGTGTTTTCTTCAGGAAGATTACCTTACAAAATATGAAGGGAGAGAAACAGGAATCTGTGAGAACAGCTAGCTCCTATTTAAAATATATGTGACCAATAATTGATTATAAGCATTTTTATTCTCAAGGAAAGAGGCTCTACGCAGTCTAATTAAAAAACTCCCTCTCAACAAAGATAATTTGTAGGAAAAAGGGATGGTTGGATAATCATTGCTTGACTGGAGTTTTTTAAGATTTTATTTATTTATTTGACGGCGAGAGAGGGAACACAAGCAGAGGAAGCGTGAGTGGAAGAAGCAGGCTTCCCGCCGAATAGGGAGCCCAATGCAGGGTTCGATCCGAGGACCCTGAGATCATGACCTGAGCCAAAGGCAGACGCTTAACAACTGAGCCACCCAGGCACCCTGCTTGACTGGATTTTTAAAAAAGTGACTGGTTACAGATTATTAGACTAGTTAAAGGTCACCGGGCTCCTCCTAAAACTGCTATCTTTCTGGGTCCCAGAAGGGATCTTAAGTTCATTAAGTAAAGTTTATCATTCATTTTAACAGAAATGCTCATTTCTCCCAGGAAAGGGTAACGAATGAAAACAGATCATAGACTTCTCCCCTAGCTAAGGTTTTGGACCATTTTTTCTTGCTCATCCCCACAGTGAGAGAAAGAGCAGGAATCTTTTTTTTTTTTTTTCTCTCCTCCCATTCCATCTGGGTGGCATGCCCTACTCTTTCCTGACTATGTGGTCTCTATTCATTCGAGAAATTGCATATGCCTATTCTGTGCCAGCTAGGCCTTGTTGGGCCAGTGTTGGGAATACAGTGATCTGTGTAGATAGGCAGTCTTGTCCTCACAGGGTTTAGTGTGCAGTTGGAGAGAGGGTTGGAGAGACTCAGATGTGTCTGAGTATTATACACAAAGTTAAGGGGCACCTGGATGGCACATGCAGTCAGCTGAGCATCAGACTCTTGGTTTCAGCTCAGGTCAAGATCTCAGGGTTGGGGAGCCTGCTTCTCCCTCTGCCTCTGCCCCTCCCCCTGCTCATGCTCTCTCTCTCTCTCTCTCTCTCTCTCTCTGTCTCTCTCAAATAAAGTCTTAAAAAAAAGACTCTCTCTACCTCTCCCTCTGCCCCTCCCCCCTGCGCGCTCTCTCTCTCTCAACTAAATCAATCTTAAAAAAAATTAAATTGTTAACTGTAATTTGGAGCTGTGCTGTGAAGCAAAGGAACAGGGTAAGTGCGGTCTCAAGGGAGATCTGTCTCAGACTTTGAAATCAGAGGAGCTACCTATGAAGAAGTGACACTTGCCTTCACCAGGATATGGATGGGGACTGAGCCTTTTCAAGGTCCTTAGGCAGAAGAGATCTTGGCCCTGTGGAGGGTGGCTAAGGGCCAGAGTATAGGAGGTAATGTGAGATGAAGGTGGAATCTGGCCTTGCTACTTCCTGTCTGCTACCTGGTAAGATCTTGATCTTCATTCTAAGAGAAAGGGGAACCACTGAAAGGTTTTAATGGGGGGAGTATGAGAAGGATGGAAAAAATCACTCTAGTTACTCTTATGGATAGGCAGGGTAGAAAAAGAGAGACCAGAAGCCCCTGTGGTCAAGGCAAGAGAAGACAGTAGCTCAGACTGGTGAGGTGGCAGGACAAAACTGACCAAATAGATGTAGGAAGTAAAACCTACCAATATACATTTGGAGCTCCAAGTTTTCCTTGTACTTAAGTGGTCTTTGATAGGCCAGAAAATTTGTACAAACTTAGCTACACCTCTGTGACTATTTTCCAAAGTATGCTATAGTAATTAACGTTATTTACCTTACTAGACAGTCCACTCTTTGAGGAGGGGGTTGCCATGGGGTAGAACTTTTCTCCCATACAATATTGACCTGAAAGCTATGCATTTTGGGGGTGCTCAATATGTACATGTTTAATTGTAAAGACTACAGAAGATCTTCCTGTATAATTCCTTCTTAGTGCTATACTATACTTATTCAACTATAATTATTCATATAATTATATGTTTAAGACATCTCTCTCTAAACTGTAAATCCCCTAAGGACAAAGACAAAGGACAGGGACCAAATCTGTTTTGGTTATTGCTTTATTCCATTGCTCAGCACTGTGTCTGGTGCTCAATAAATACTTTTCAAAGAATCATTTTGCTGTTAAAAGTTTCAACCAAACATGGATGCAATATTTATTGTGTGCCAGTGAATGTTCTTAGCACCTTAAACACACTTAACACGTTTAATCCTTATACCAGCTCCATTAGGGATATATTGTTGGTGTTCCCATTTTTACAAATGAGGAAACCAAGGCAGGAAGATTAACTTAGGGAGTCTATCTTATCAAACACTGATGTACATTTGGGCACTGGGGTGGCTTAGTCGGTTGGCCACTGACTCTTGGTCTGGGTTGGGTGCTGATCTCCAGTAGTGAGATCCAGCCCCCTGTGGTTAGAGCAGAGTCTGCTTGAGACTCTCCCTCTCCGTCTGCCCCTCCCCCCAAATAAATAAATCTTTAAAAAAAAATAGATGTACATTCATTCTAAAATATTAACTGGGTTTTTGACTATGACAGGAGCTGTGCTAGGCTGTAGGGACACAAAAAAATCGTGATTAATAATTTTGAGCACCCACAAATTAAATATGTTAGGTTTGGTGTTAGGCGCTTTACACAATTTTAGGTAAGCCTGACAATAACCTTGCAAGTTAGGTATCCTTAATCGCATTTGATTATTGTGGAAATAAAGGTTTGGCAAGGCTCAGTAACAATAAACGTCACTAGCTGGTGGGAGGTGCACTCGGTGCAGCTGGTGGGAGTCAGGAGTCCCATTAAAGTCCTGCCTCCCACTTCCCGAGACAAAACACAGGACTCCGCCCCTCGTCCAGGTCCGGCCCCGCCCATCCTCATTACGCCTGCGCACTCCCCGCGCCAACCCTCTCCTCCCCGCCGACACGCGGCGCGCCTGCGCACTGCTTTCCCATGTGGGCTCGGGCCGTCAGCAGGCTTTCCTGAGCAGGGTACCGAGACCCCATCGGTAACAGGAACTTGCCCCTAGCTCAGCAGCCGCCACCGTCCTGCTGTTGCCCTCCTCTCTCGGCCTTTCCCCCGCAGCGCACATCGCCATGGGCAAGAGCCGGACGAAGCGCTTCAAGCGACCTCAGTTCTCCCCTACAGGCGACTGTCAGGCCGAAGCGGCAGGGGCGGCGAACGGGACTGAGGGAGAGGAGGATGACGGGCCAGCGGCGGAGCTGCTAGAAAAGGTGAGGCGGGGGCTCGCGGGGGCCGCGAGGGGCGGGGCTCGCGCAGAGCCCCCGGGCAGCGCGGTGCGCCCCGGCCGCGGCCCCCGCGCCTGCGCTCTGCGCCGCCTCTGACACTTGGTCCCCTCCCGCAGCTCCAACACCCGAGCGCCGAGGTCCGCGAGTGCGCCTGCGCGGGGCTGGCCCGGCTGGTGCAGCAGCGGCCCGCGCTGCCGGGCTTGGCGCGTCGGGACGCGGTGCGCCGCCTCGGGCCGCTGCTGCTGGACCCCAGCCTGGCAGTGAGGGAGACGGCGGCCGGCGCGCTGAGGTGAGCCGGGAAGGGGGGTGGCGGCGGCCAGCCGGCGCGCCCGTGCGTGCCACGCCCCGTCGCCTGTCACGGTGCACTTGCCTGCGGCAGCTCGGAACACCCAGAACTGCCCAGGGTCTCCCATTTGCAGAGGGGGGATTTGAACTCAGCCTGCAGACTCTAGAGGAACCCACGCCGCCCGGGCCACACGCATTCCGTCTGTCCAGCTGGCTGCTTCAGCTGCAGCAGCCGTCTGTCAGGGATCCTCCCCGCAAGGCCTAACATACTTTACGGCCTCTCCCAAGAAGCCTCCAAAGTCCCGAGGTTCTGTGAGCTCTTCCAGTGTGTGTGGCAGGCGTTCTGGGTGCAGGGGGTTTGAGCAGGCAGAACGTTGAGCAAGAGCGCCGAGATCCCTGCCTTCACAGAACCCATGTTGTTGAGGAGACGGGAGCCTAGGAAACTGGTAAAACAGGTAATAGGAGATAGTGAGAGGTGCGATGGAGAATACCAAGAGGATGATGAGCCGGAGGTGGGAAGTTACTTTAAATTCCGATCTGTAGATGACACTTGACCTGATGCATCAGAGCCAGACGTGAAAATCCAGGGGAAAAGCATTCCCGGCAGAGGGAACAGCAAAGAAGTGAGGCAGCAGAGGGCTTGACATGGTTAAAGAACAGAAAGTTTGGGACACCTGGGTGGCTCATTTTGAGCGTCTGCCTTCAGCTCAGGTCTATGATCTCAGGGTCCTGGGATCGAGTCCGGCATCGGGCTGCTTGCTCAGCGGGGAGCCTGCTTCTCCCTCTGCTTACTGCTGCCCCTCCTTGTGCTCGCTCGCTCTCCCTCTCTCTCTCTGACAAATATATAAGATCTTAAAAAAAAAAGAAAGAAACATGAGGGTTAGTGTGGCTGAATGGAGTAGAGGGTGGGTATCTTAGGAGATGAGGTTGGAGTGATGGACAGGGACTTGATAGTGTAGGGCTAAAGGGCCTATTGTGAGCAGGAGTGGCCTGATCTAATTTACCTTTTGAAAAGGCTCCTCTGATGGCTGTACAGAGAATGGACTGTAGAGGGGGCAAGAGTAGAAGTTAGTATTTGCAGTTCTTGCAGCTTTGTTACATTATGTTTGATTCATTGATTTAGCAAGTGTGTTTTGTGTGCCTTCTGTGCACTAGGCAATGGGCTGGATAGGCTGTGGGCATGTGTTAGTGAACAAGACAGACATAATTTCTGTCCTTCATGGATCTTACAGTATTGAGGGAGACGGGCATTAACCAAATTAATCACACAATTGTATAATTACAACCAGTGATAATTACAGAGGGTGCTATGAGAGGATATAACTGGGGGCTCAGGGAAGAAAACCCTAAGGGAGGGATGGGGATTAGCCACATGCTGGAGGAAATTGCATGTAGGAAGCCCTACCCTTTCCCTGAGGCTTACATATCCTGGGCGCTTGGAAGGTTGTGGGGACATCTTCCAATTCATCTCCATATACTCAGTGCCAGGCACAGTGCTGTGCACTCAGAAGGCAAGCAAGCAGTGTCTTCCCAATTAAAATTCAGTTTCGCTAGCGTTCCTTCGGCCTCACTGTCATTCAGCCTTACCCTTGCTGCCCTTGAAGTCTTGATCCCAAGAAAATGTCCCTTCATATCAGATCATGCTGTGATTTGTTTGCATTAAGTAGGAAGTCTTCTCCCCTCTCCCTGCCCTGTTGCCATGCACCTGTGTATTGTCTCAGACTTCAAAATTAAGTTGTTACGTGGAACCAGGATCAGAACAGATGGAAATCTGTGGATTGGTTCTGTAGCATCTTGCAGAAATCATAAGCAGTTTCATCTGGAAAACAAGTATGGGGACAGATTAAATTTGAGAGCTTAAAAGTGTTTTGTGACATGTGCTCTGAGAAAGTAAAACGTATTTTAAACTTTTTGTGTAGAAACCTCAGTGCTTGTGGAGGTTTTGACGTTTGTGATGACATGGTGACTAAGGATATCATGACCCCTCTGGTTGCACTGCTGAAAGAGGTATGTGGTTTTTAAAGTAGCTTCATGGTACTTTTCAACTGTAGCTTTTTGTATGCACACTTAGTTGTTTTTTTTTTTTTAGCTCTTTGGTATTATTTCATCTTCCCTCAAAACATTCTATGGGAATTTTGTTTCTTTTCCTAGAAACATTGATTTCTCATCATTAATACCAATCTCTATTTTTTGTCCCTACTATCTTTACTTACATGCTAGTTGGAAAAGACCTTCCTAAAACTATAGATTGATTCCTTTAGACCTTAAACTTTGTAAATAAAAATAAGTAGTCTTATATGGATTGCTTATTTTTGTGTCAGTCGTGTTTTATGTACCATTTAATCCTTGCACCAGTCCTATTTGGAAGGTGGTATTCCTGTTTTGCAGATGAGAAAGCTGAGGCATAATTTGCCATGAAGATTACATTACGTTTTCAAATTTAGTATCATGCCAACCTTATTGCATGATGGGACATACGCATCAGGGCGCCTGGGTGACTCAGTTAAGTGACCAATTCTTGATCTCAGCTCAGGTCTTGATCCCAGGGTCGTAAGTTCAAGCCCCACATCGGGCTCCACGCTGGGCTCTGTGCCCAGCGTGGAGCCTACTTAAAAAAAAAAAAAAAAGCAGCAGCAGCAGCTCTCTAAGGTGCTGCTAGTCCACTATTCTGTATTGATGGGTAACTTTTTTTTAAGATTTTATTTATTTATTTGGCAGAGAGCGGAGAGCCCAAGGAAGGGGAGCAGCAGAGGGAGAGGGAGAAGCAGGCTCCCCCCCCCCCACCAAGCAGGGAACCCAGTGTGGGACTCGGATCCTACGTCATGGGATCATGACCTGAGCCAAAGGCAGACACCCAACTGAGCCTCCCAGGTGTCCCTTGATGGATAATTTTTACTTAAGTCTTTATAAAGAATATCCAATTTTGATGAGAGGCATCAGTCTTAACTCTGTTTAGAGTGTCGGTTCTGAACCGGTGGTGATTTGCCCCACAGGGGACATCTGGCAATGTCTGGAGACGTTTTTGATTTGAGGGTAGGTGTTGCTACTGGCATGCAGTGGGTAGAAGCCAAGGATGCTGCTACACATCCTCCAGTGCACATGTCAACGCCCACAGCAAAGAATCATTCAGTCCAAAGTGTCAGTGGTGCTGAGATTGAGAAGCCCCGCAGTAGAGGGTGCTGTGGATCATGCTAGAGGGGCAGGACCGCAGTGGTACCGGGCACCAGCTTTACAGCCAGAATACCTGGGTCTGAATCCTAGCTCTGCCATGTACTAAGCTACACCTTCAGCAATCTCCCTGTACCTCAGTTTCCTATTTGTAGTGGATGACTGGGGAGAATAGTTCATCTGCTTCACAGGTGTGTGGTCAGGATTAAATGACTTAATGGAAAGTGCTTAGAGTGGTGCCTTTCTGTGCCCGATTTACTATCTTTATTGCATTAGAGGAAATACTTTGTATTGATTTTACATTTTAAAATGTTAAATGCTTTGTATCCAGTTTGTACAATGACTTGTGAACTTTTTTTGCCTGTATTTCTTGCCAGAAGGGAGCAGGAGTGTCGGAAGGGTACTGCTTATGAGATTTTGATCAGCTCGTTAACCACTATAATTTCTGATGTTTAGTTTTTGTGATTCTTCACTATCATTAGCCTTTTTGTTTAATTATTCTTTTGAACCGGGGTACTAATCATGATATTTGGTTACAGTGTAGTGCTGGCCTGGATTCAAATGAGATGTCTCCACAGGAAAAAAAAGATCAGAACAGAAATTCTATTGAGAACATAGCCAATGAGGCCATGAATGTGCTGTGGAATATATGGTAAGAATCTTTCTAAACACAGCCTCCTGCTACAGCACCGCTCAGGCTTTTTCTGTTAAACTGTAGTCTCTGTTCTCCTTGGTGGGGCTGTAAATCCCTGATGTTAATGCTTGGTAGGAGGTAGTCTCAAGTGACCTAAGATCAACCTCCTTCCTAAGCCCTTTTCCTCATAGCATCACTGCAGCTTTGTTTGCTTTATAACTCTTCTCTCCAATCATTGCTGCTGACAGAAATAAGAGGAATCGTGGCCATTACCACCTGCTACACCCCAGTTGTCCCCACTACCTGCGCAACCTTAAGCAGTCACTGTGTTAAAGCTGGTCAGGCCACCAAGCAGTAGCTGCTTTGGTCTGGCACCTGGAATGAGATGGGGGCCACAGCCCTTGGCTGGTGCTTTGCTCCTCTACCCTGGCACTTGCCATTTGACAGGGAAGTAGATGCCTAAGAAGAGTTCTCTCGGCCCTGGTAGGAAGAAGGCCACACTCTCCATGATTGTGGCGGTGGTAGGCTGGAGTGGACTTGCAACTAGGAATGGAAATGGCTAGAAACACTACCTGGATTTAGTTTTTTCTACCCTATTTTATGTCCCACCTTTCTAGCAGGATTCTGCCACAGTTCCTTATTTTCTAGTCAGCAGTGATGATAACTTCTGACCTAAAAGCACAGGTATATCTTAGAACACAGGACTAAGTTGGATCCTGAAAAGCTGCCTACATAGCAGTCTGAACTTGCCTGTGATATCATTTCAAACTAGTGGATGCATTCCACCAGAGAAAGTGGAGAGATCAGGTCTGAGGAAATGACATTTGAGCAAGCCGGTGGGTACATTTTCCTGGGCACCAGATAACTTTAACTTACTTAATTGTTGGACTTAGAAGTTTTAAAAATTTTTCCTTGAACAAGAGCCTGAAAAAATACTCTCCACACTCTCCTGAATGACTGTGAGCCCTATCTATGTCATTTCCAGTTGTCCTAGCTCTTCACATTTTTGTTTTATACTTCATATTTTAAGTCCTATATATTTAAGTTGCATACACATGTATATATTTGCAATGACTTTAACACATGTATGTCTTATCTCCCTGACTATACGTCACTTTACTGTGGGCATCTTAAGGGTAGGTTCATAGCAGTGTTGTAGTAACTACTTAGGTAGATAGGCAGGCAGAGAATAGTTTATCTTTAGATAACAGGATTGAATTTCATAATTTAGTCAGCTCTGTTTAATAATCTGGTCAGCTCTATTAGTATGTCGTGTATATGTGATATGTATGGAGGGTTACTTTTCTCTGGAAACATGGATCAGATTATTAAAATCAGCTCTGCTTACCCTGTATTTAGTATGTATAACATTCTTAACATTAATTCTGACTTTTTTATTAAAAGGTAGTGTAGTTTGCTTTGTTTTGTTTTTTTAAAGATTTTATTTATTTGACACAGAGAGAGAGACAGCTAGAGAGGGAACACAAGCAGGGGGAGTGGGAGAGGGAGAAGCAGGCTCCCGGCTGAGCAAGGAGCCCGATGCGGGGGCTCGATCCCAGGACCCCAGGATCGTGACCTGAGCCGAAGGCAGATGCTTAACGACTGAGCCACCCAGGCGCCCCAAGGTAGTGTAGTTTCAAATGTATTCTAGTAATTTCTCTTTTGTAGACTGCAAATTCTGCTTGTTGAAATTATAATAGCAGTCTAGAGGGAATAAATAAAATTAGTTTTATTTTCTTTTAAATTAGTGCTTTTTGTGTAAGTATAGAGGCCTTTTATCCTCACTTCAACTTACTTTATGTCGTGGAAGGAACTGTAGGCTGGACTCAGGGAACCACCACTAACAAAATGTGCGATCTTTGGGTAGATCACTTCACCTTTTGGGGCTTGGGTGTCCTTATGTATGAGATGAGGAATAGAAGTTAAATGATTTCTAAGCTCTCTCCCAGCTCCAGTCTCGTATAAGGAAACTGGCATGCAGGTAAAGAGATTGGCTAAAATGTTCTGCTGTGATAGAAATAAAAATACAGATAGCCAGTTTTGTTTATGTACAGTAAATAAGAATGGGCATTGGTTTCTTCATCTATAAAAATGGTGGGTGTTTGACTCCAATTCTTGTTTTGTTTTGTTTATAAAATAAAGCCTAATTTATCTTTTCATAAATTTCTGTGGTTGATTTCTTAATGTTAAAATGTGAATAGTAAAACTTTTTTTTCCCCCTTCAATTTAGTGAATGCAGTAGTAGAGCAGTATCTATATTCAACAAAGAAGGGTGTTTGGAGATTGTATTAAAGTATTTAAGTAGGTTTCCCACCAATGTTGACCTGGCTATTTCAGTAGGTAAGTGAAGAAAAAGTGATGATTTATTAAGTATGTGTGGACTTACTAAAAAATTTTTTATTCCAACAAAGCATGTTTATTCTATAGGAGTGATTTTTTTTTCTCATTTTATATATAAATGTGTAACTGAGTTCTGTTTGTTCTGAATCTTTTAAAATCTATGATTAATACTTTATTTACTTACACATTTTCCTGCTCTTCACTCTGAAAGGGAGGAAGGTAATTATGTGAGCAGTATATTACCATTCTTAGAACACTTTATTAATTCTTGAAGCTTTCATCTCCCATTTACTGAGAAACAGTAACCCACAACTACCAGGCCTCTGAGCCAAAGTTAATTGGAATCTAGACTTACTTAAATGTCTTGTACCACTATCTCATACTCCCAGCAGAAAACTGATAACTTGTGCTTTTCTTGGGAGAGGAAAATAAGTGATTGAAATTTCATGTAGGCCTGCTTCCCTTCTGTGGGAAAGGGCAAGCAGAGCTCAGCAGCTTCAGCTGCCTTGACTCCCTCGTGTTCTCGCTGTGCGGTTAGAGAGCCATAGTGGGGAGCCCTTGTCCATTTGGAGAGACACACTGGAGGGTGGGTGGCCCAGCAGAACTCTGGGGAGAGTGGAGAAATAATTGATGAAAAGCATTTCTTTTCTACCCATTATAATGGCCAGGCATCCAACTGTCCTTTTATTTAATTATGCATTTCTCCTGGCATGAACTGAGTGTGTTCCCCTTACTGATGCTCCTCTTGGCTCTAATGGATACTTTTAAGAGAATAGAAGAAAACAGTGGAATAAATACTACTGGGAAAAATTAAAAAATCAGTTTCTCAAAATGGAATCTTTGGCAGAAGGGTGATTTATGAATAAATGTGGATTTTAAAAACGGTTGAACTGGGAAATTGGTAGGTGGCTTTTAATCTCAGAGGACAGTTTTTCTCACAATTAGGGAAATTCACAAAAGTTAGTTAATAGCTTTTAAAAGAAAAACTTCACTTCTATTTTTGTATCTTTAGTCTTGTAGATTTAGTTATTTTTAATTTTTGTCCTGTAATAAACTGTAAAAAAAAAAATGGGTCAGAGAGCTTCTGCCTTCAGCTCAGGTCATGATCCCAGAGTCCTGGGATCGAGTCCCACATCGGGCTCCTTGCTCAGTGGGGAATCTGGTTCTCCCTCTCCTGCTGCTGCTGCTTGTGTTCCATCTCTTGCTGTGTCTGTCTCTGTAGAATAAATAAATAAAATCTTTAAAAAAAAATGGATCAGAATAAAGTAATTTTGCATTGTATAATGTTTTCTTTCTGCATTTAGCTAGATTCGTGATTTTTTAAACAAATGTCTAATTACTTTGGTTTGAAAATCAAGCAAGGTTTACATACAGTAAAGTGAACTTTCTGAGCTTCCATCCTGTAAATATGGCTTTCTTTGCTCTTGTATTGACTTTATGGTAGCAACCTCAGTTTCTCTTGGCTTTTTGCTAAAGTGAATTGAATTAGTCTCTTAATGAAAAAATTACATTTGGATATATGCGTATATGTGGATTTGTATACACATGTATTTGGGGAACCAAACTAGATTCCAGCAGTAGCATATATTTTGACTAATTTGGATGGGCATGATTGACTGAAATTTTGAGACCTGGAAAGAAATGGATTTGTTTGGAATACACTAAGAAAAACACATTTGGGCTTGCTTCCTCTTTTGTGCTTCAGAGGTTCTTCTGTCAAACCTGTCAGGCAATCCCAGTTGTTTTGATACTTTCAGTTAATTATTTCTGATATGCAAGTTGTAATCCATTGTCTTATTTAACTCAAGGAAGAAGTTAAGCACTAAAGGGATCATAATGTCTTTTAATATCATAGTCATCTCTTAATTTACTCATATTTTTTTTTTAAGATTTTATTTATTTGAGAGAGAGAGAGAGTGAGAGAGAGAGCCCAAGGGGGCTAGGGTCAGAGGGAGAAGCAGACTCCCTGCTCAGCAGGGAGCCTGATACGGGACTCGATCCTGGGACTCCGGGATCATGACCTGAGCCGAAGGCAGTCGCTTAACCAACTGAGCCACCCAGGCGCCCAATTTACTCATATTTTTATGTAAAATACTTTTTTTTTTAGATTTTTATTTATTTATTTGATAGACAGCTAGAGAGAACACAAGCAGGGGGAGCGGGAGAGGGAGAAGCAGGCTCCTGGCCAAGCAGGGAGCCCGATGCGAGGCTCGATCCCAGGACCCTGGGATCATGACCTGAGTCAAAGGCAGATGCTTAACGACTGAGCCACCCAGGCGCCCCCCCCTTTTTTTCTCAAAGAAATATTGTTTTACCAGAAATAGCCCTCACTTTTAAGGTCATGCTGAATTTAAAGGAAGCCAGAATGTCCCCAAGTCCAGGGCTTGTTCTTGATAATGGAACTGCTAAAAGCGTTGTCTCTCCCATAGGCTGTTTGCTACTGGTCCCCAACATGTACAGAAATTGAGGAGAAACCTTAATAAATGTTCATAGTAATTTCACATTGTCACACCGTTTAAGAGCCTTTTAAGTTGTATTTTGTAAAAGTTTATTTTGTAAAGAATTAGAAATTAAAAAGAAAAAAAAATCTTTCATTGCACTGTTTGAGAAGCCCCGTTTGCATGTACCATCCTTGAAGTAAAGCATACTTCCTTTACAGAAGTTATCTGTGTCTGAAGTTGTAAAGATGCAAATGTTTAGATGGAACCAGAGAGTGTAATGCTTAGTGAAATAAGTCAGAGGAAGACAGATACCATATGATTTCACTCATATGTGGAATTTAAGAAACAAAAAGGTTGGACATAGAGGAAGGGAAGGAAAAATAAAATAAGATAAAAACAGAGGGTAGCACACCATAAGAGACTGTTTCAGGGTTGCTGGAGGGGAGGCGGGTGGGAGGATGGGGTAACTGGGTGATGGGCATTAAGGGGAGCACTTAATGGAATAAGCACTGGGTTGCAACTGATGAATCACTAAACTCTACCTCTGAAACTAATAATACAGTATTTAACTGTATTATTGAATTAACTGTATTAAATTGAATTTAAATACAAAATAAAAAAAGATGCAAATGTTTTCTGATGAGTTAAATTGGTGTAAATTATCCTAGCAGAATTCATTGGTGTTTTAATACTTAATTTTTATCTTTATAGCATATTGTTTGCAGACAGTGACCGAAGATAACCCAGAGCTGCTGAAATCTTTCAGTGCCCCAGCATTGAGTGTACTGGAATCAGCAATGCTTTCTCCTGTCAGTTCCATGGAGTATATTCTATTAAAGACATTGGTGGCAGGTAAAATTTAGCCATACGCGGCAGTGTGCTTTTTTAGTAATTTGTAATGGGCAGAGATGGAGGCCAAAATTCAGTCATTCGTTCATTTTCACCACATAATGACCTTCTGTGCTTATGTCTGTTCTGAAAATTGTAATATTTAAGTGGAGATCCTTAATTCAAGAGGTTATGCATAGTTACGGAGCCTTCTAGAACAGGTTTCTTTTCAATTTAGCAAGCTCCTGTCTTTGTATAAAGAAGTGCTCTTGTCAGGATCCTTGTTTATGAACCAGTGAGTTCAGAAATGGACATGACATGACCACCCTCTTTTCTATAAATTCTTTACCCCCAGCTCCTTTCTCCTTGGGATTTCTAAATGTAGAGATAAGAAATAATCTGGTGATCTGTTGAGTAGTGGGTAATTTATATATTTTCTGTATATATCTTCTTCCTGCTCTTCCAGAGGTAATTTATCATGAGAGGTGTTGTTTTTTAGTAGTGAAATATATGTAACATAGACTTTACCATCTTGACCATTCTTGAGTGTATGGTTCAGTAATGTTAGGTACATTCACATTGTTGTGCAACCAATCTCCAGGACTGTTCATCTTGCAAAAGTGAAACTCTGCACACATTGAAAAACTCCCCATTTTCCCATCCTTCCACCCCTAGCAGCCACCATCCTACTTTCTGTCTCTATGAATTTGACTATTTTAGGTGCCTCATCTAAGTGGAATTATACAGTGTTTTTCTTTTTCTGATTGGCTAATTTCATTTATTTTATTATTTTTAAATTTTTTTTTTTAAGCTCTACACCCAATGTGGGGCTCGAACTTATGACCCCGAGATCAAGAGCTGCATGCTGTACGAACTATGACTAATTCATTTAGTATAATGTCCTCAGAGTTCATCCATGTTGTAGTGTGTCAGAATTTCCTCCCTTTTTAAGGATGAATAATACTCCACTATGTGTATATATTTGACCATTCATGAGCAGATGGGCACTCGGGTCGGTGGCTGTTGAGTAATGCTGCTATGAATATGGGTGGACACATATCTGTTTGAGTCCCTGCTTTCAATTCTCTTGGGTCCATATCCAGGATGTATTTTTATTTTAACAGTGACTTTTTTTTTTTTTTTTTCAGTTAGTCTGTCTGCCTACTTAATGGTAGCTCCTGTTCTGTTTTGATAAGCAAAAAACCAAGAACCTGCTGTCTGGTTTGTCCAGAAACCTTGGAATTTTTGTGCATTTCGTTCCTCTCTTGGAATATAAGAAGCTGCCTAGGAGGGCAGCTCAGGTTAAGATGAAAGAGAGCGAGGCAGCTTCATTTGTCGTTTCAAGTGAAACTTGATCAGTGTTCTCTTGGTCTGTTGCTGTGCGGTGTGTCCGAGAGAGGCATTGTGTGCCAGGGAAGAGAGATGATTGTGCAGGACTGTAATAAAGGGAGCCGCCTCTGTGCAAAGCTTTTTTTTTTTTTTTGACATTTAATAAAAACTGAACACAGGCAGAGGGTTGGAGATTTTTTTTTTTTTTAATTACACCTGAGCTTAAAAGAACCAATCTTGTGGAAACTGTATTTAATAAAAGCTTTCACAGGTGAGTCCTTTGTCCTTACGTGCATTTTCCCCCCAGGCACCATTTGGAACCTAAAGGACATCATTCCATCCAAGAGTCAGGCAGAAATCATAAATGCCATACTGAAGATCTTGTCTGACGTTCTGGACCTGGACGCTGGTGAGACGGTAATTCGAATGCATGAGGCCGAAAAGCAGAGGTTAGAAGCTGCCGCAGAGACGGAGGACGTGCTGGAGAGCACCAGCTATGGCTCTCTGATGGAAGACGATGAAATGGAAGAGATCCCGCACAAAAGAAAAGTCAGAAGGAAAACCTTCATTTCCGATTTGCTTCCAGTAAGTCAGATTGATGCATGCAGGCCTGGATTCATACAGCCGCTTTCTTCTAATAGGTATCCTGAGCTTTGTAGAACCCTGTTACAGTACAGTTAATTACAAAGTGAAATTCAGTAACAGTCCGTCACGCTTCCCCATTGGCTCTCATTGCAGCTTTAGAAATCTCCCAAAGGGGGAGAAAACATCTCCTGTCTAAAATGCAACTTTTCTGTCCAGAGGATTTCCAAGAGGGGAGAGACCAGTACTTTTGTAACACTTTAGAAACATGCAGTTATCTTCCTAAGTCCTGTGTCTCCTCTCTTCAGTTACACACTCTCCACCAGGTTGTCTTCATTACTGAAGGAGTTTGTACTTTGCTCCAATGGTACCTGCATTCTTGTCTCTTTTTGTTTTCATATTTATCCTTACCAAAATAGCAGGCTCAGCCCGCATTAGCCCAGCATTGCTGAGCAGAGAAGGTTGGATGCTTGTGAGAACTGGTGGTTGTTCATGTTTGCCGACACACTTGTGTTGGAGTAAAGGTGAGCAAGCTCAGGGGCGGGGAGCCTTTCAGCGGAGCCAGTCCACAGAGATGGAGCCGTGCTTTGGGAAGGTGTTTCCCCCCAGAGAAGGTCAGCGAGTAGTTGGGAAGGCAGGAAGGACAATGACTTGGCTTTATTCGTTCAGGTGCACGTTTTCTGTGCTCCTTGTGTGTGCCAGGCACTGTGCCGAATGCTGATGCTAGAAAGACAATTAGGACATTTTTCTTGTCTTCAGGGACCTTTTCCGTCTTGGGAGGACAGATGCATAATTAGGACACATAGCAGTGCTTGTGCTGAGAGCAGGGATAGGGCTGCGCACAGAGCTTTGAGGGAGTAGTTTGTAGAGCGAGGCATGCCCAGTAGACAGCCCTGGTGGGAGAGGAGAGGATGAGGTGGTCAGAGAAGGCTTTTTGGACAGAACACCTAGCTGTCTTAAAGGATGGGATGGGAACAGCATGAAAAGCAGGTTAGTGTCGTTAAGGGGGCCTGGAGGCTGGGAGATGGGTTAGGCTACTGACAGCATTCTGAAGAAAGATGACGGAGGCCGAACTGCAGGAGCCCTAGCCCTGTCCTCACAGGCTTTCTGCACTCCAGGTGTGGCCTCTCCTGATCCACAGCAAGTGAACTGAAACTAAGAGCTGTCTTCATTCAGAGTCTTAAGAGTTTTGAGAAGTTTATGCCCAATATAAGATTTCTTTAGATGGAATATACCTGAAAAATATAACAGTATCCTCCTTTCCTGGATTCACAAAGTCTTGTAAAGCATGAATTGGTGGTATTTTAATGAAATCATAATGTTGTCATGAGAACTACTTTCCCAGCCCCCATGGATAGATAGCCCTTTGGTGCACAGCATCCTGTTAAGTCCCGGGGTGAATATAAACATGAGAAGGCTGCCCCACCCTTGAGCTGCTTGCAAGTCATAGGGTTGCTTCAAAATCATAGCACCGCTTTTGGTGTGGGCGGGCACATATTTGAACCCCCAATTTATTGCTTCTGTAGTCTGAGTAAAATTTAAAATCAGTAAAACAAGATAGACAAAGGCAGAACCGTATGCCGTAGCCTCCCAAAGGGATGTCTATAAAGAACCCTAGCAGCATTTTCTCTGCAGTTTGACACCGGAAGGGTGAGGTACAGATCTGAGACAGACGTGTGTGTCGCCCCCCCCCCCCAGCGCAGGGAAAGTCAGGATATGACGGATCAGGGCTTGGAGGGTCTGTAGCTGTGGCGTTGCATGGACCGGCCCGACCGAAAACACGTGTACCGTGATTGACCACGTGACTTCCCACCAGCAGGAGTGGGGAGTACAGTTGGGCTGTAAGGGAACTCTGAAGTGTCTGAAATCCCTTGCAGGGAGGGGGAGAGCGGCGCTCTTGCGTCCTTCCACCGCTCCTCCAGGGACTCCTATAGGGAGAAGGTGGGGACTGAGATCCACATCTACCAAGATTCAGTGCCACCGTATAAAAAGTACTGAAAATTAACCGTCATTTAGGCATTTACTTTTCTTCGTATTATTTAAAAATAGAACATTGCTGCTTATAAAATGCAGCGTTTTCTCATAAGGAAAGCTTGCTTTTTAACATCTGGTAACATAAACGAGTGGACCAGATGATTAACATGATGGTCAGTCAGCCAATGTTTAAGTGCCTGTAGGGTGCCAGTATGTGCCTGGAATACAAATGTAATGTCTGACAACTCTGGTCTTTCCCACTGCCTGGTGGCTGGTGCAGGAGGCCTTCGGAATCAAAACCTTTAATTTGCATCATTTAAAGTAAGAAAGTGTAACCACAAATATGTAAAGAGAACCAACCCAAGTTGTCATTTTAACATACGCAGAAGTAGAGGAATCCCTCGCCCAGCTTCCACTGTTACCCAGTGATCAAATTGTAGTCTGTTTTATTTCATCTATTTCCCCACCTCACATATTTTGGAGCAAACCTCAAATGTCATAACATTTCATCGAGATTGGTTCATTATGTTCATTTGATGACAGTAAGAAGCAGAGAACGGTTCTGATCAGGAGAGTTATAAAGAAGTAGAACTTAATTTCAGGGTTCTTCTGAGCCAGATTTTCATACATCTCTAGGGGATGGGAGCTCAGCAACATCTTTTATTTAGCTTTGAGTCTCTAATAAACTTTTGTTTACTTGAATATCATACACAAAGCAGGTAGGAATAGTTTTTATGTATCTTCTTCCCAGCAGTAAAAGGAATACAAATACATTCCTAAGCTACATCTTTTAAATGAGCACTTTGCTTTTAAAATAATTTTTATCAAAAATAATTATCTTTTAATAATAATTTTATTATTTTAAATTTATTATTTTATTGTTATTGTTATAGATTTGATTTTTAAATAATCCCTGTGCCCAGTGTGGGCCTTGAACTCACAATCCCGAGATCAAGAGTCTCATGCTGTCCCGACTGAGCCAGCCAGGTGCCCCTATTTATTATTTTTTAATAATAACTTTGAACATGGTTCAATATTGCAGTCAAATTGTTGCACAAGAAGTTGCTGGAGGTTTATAAATCAGTATGAACATTCCGGAAAGGAAAATAGGAACATGTCACAGGATCTATAGGTAATCCTTTGACCCAGTAAATCTAAGGAAATGAGAAATCCAGGTAATTTGAAATATTCCAAATTAAATGATAGTGTATCCATTTAATGGAATATGGTACAGGCATTAAAAGACAATTAGAAGCTTGTTGAAAGGGGGAAACATTCAGACGATAAAATATACATTATTTTTAGCCTATGCACTATTCTGGAATATCAGCGTAGCCTATTTCACTTTTCATAGGTAACTTGAGAATTCAGGTTATGTAAATTTCTACAACCCATTTTAAGTTCATGTTAATTATTTCCAGAGAATAAAGTTCTCCCCTTTCTTCAGTCTTAAAGAAATGCCTTTTTTTTTTTTAAAAGATTTTATTTACTTGGGACGCCTGGGTGGCTCAGTCGGTTAAGCGTCTGCCTTCGGCTCGGGTCATGATCCCAGGGTCCTGGGATCGAGTCCCGCATCGGGCTCCCTGCTCAGCGGGAGCCTGCTTCTCCCTCTGCCTCTGTCGCTCTCCCTGCTTGTGCTCTCTGTCTCTTTCACTCTGACAAATAAATAAAATCTTTAAAAAAAAAAAAAGATTGTATTTACTTGTTAGAGATAGTGAGAGAGAGCACAAGCTGGGAGGAGAGGGAAAAGCAGACTCCCTGCTGAGCAGGGAGCCTGATGAGGACCCTGAGATCGTGACCTGAGCCAAAGGCCGAAACTTACCTTACTGAGCCACTCAGGCGCCCCAAAGAAATGCTTTCTTGCAGGGTTCAGAGAAAGCCAGGAAGCCAAGCCTGTCTGCACCTTAGCCAAGCTCTGTTGGTCACATAAGGGCTCGTTAGTAGTTCTTGTTAATGCAGTCTTTTCCAATGAGACGTCTAAGCATCTAAAAGCTGGTTTATTGTGTATAAGTGGCTGGTCTCTGAAATGAGCTCTTGTGTTAATCTTAGTGTTCTGAGCTACTTCTTAACACATTGGATTAAGTTTCAGGGTGAATTCAGTTCAGAATTCCTGAATATTTATCTTTTCTCTCCAGCTACCTAAAATAACCGTGCAGATAGATGGAAGCCTAGTTAACAGCGGCCTGCTGCTCAGTGCCAGGAGCAATCATAATGCTTGTTTGTGCTTCAGCATGTTATGACTTTTCTTCTGGCTGCCCCATCCCCCATGCATTCTATTCCAAGGGTAAAAATCATCCAGTAGGCTCTAGCTAAGGACATTCACGTGAAAATACTTTCCCAAACATTGAGAGTTTGTTTGTTTGTTTGTTTATTTATTTATTAGCCCACTGACAAGGAACTGAGAGAGACCATAGCATTGTTGACGGCTCAGCAGACTGCTCTGGAAATTATCGTCAACATGTGCTGCAGTGAAGGTTTGTTACCAGTTTATATGTTTAGACATTCTCTCCCTGGACTGAAAGGGCAGCTTCCATGAGGATTTTCTTAAATATTCCAGTTACGTGTGGTTTGCACTCTTCCCAGATCCCTCCGATGATGAGTGGGAAGAGCTTTCTAGCAGTGATGAGAGCGATGCATTTATGGAGAATTCCTTCAGTGAGTGCGGTGGGCAGCTGCTGTCTCCCCTTTGCCTCTCCCATGAGGTTCACACCGCATTCACCAACTACCTCATCCCAAAGAAGGTAGTCTGTTTCAAGTCCAGCCTCATTGTGGAGCATGGGAAGGGCTTGAGAGAGCTATTCACCGTGTATGCAAAAGAGGTTTGCTCGCACTTCCAGACTTTGGGTAATTGGTAAGAAAGAAGCTAGAACTAACAGTAGTGGGAGTATGCTGGAAAGTAGATCCTTCCCAAGCCTAACCATTTCACTTAGAGGCAGTAGGTTGGGACTTGATAAAGGGATTGTGTGTAAAATGGTGCTAATCTTTAACCTTTGCTTTACTGCCTTTCTTGAATCTAGATTTTTGAGAAAACTACCTTTCCAAACAGCACTGCAGTTGACATATGTTCTAGGAGTCCCACTTGGAAATCTTTGGTCAGAAAGTAAGAACTTTTCTGTTTTCAAAACTCTTTGTCATTGTTATTACATGAAAGGATGGACCACTAACTAGAAGAAGCTGACTCCCCCCAGATTGAAGAGTTCTGTTCCTGTGCATATTCTCTAGAAAAATGTGTGCATGTGTGCACTAAGCCATGAGAACGTGCATAGCAATGTGGTTCCAGTTGCCCCAACCAGGAAACAACCTCAGTGTCCATTGGTGGCAGAGTCGAGAAATAAATTTTGATTTAATCACGCAGTAGAATATATACAGCCGTTTAAAAAAAAAAAAATCTGAGCTAGAACATTGAGCAAGAAAGCTAGGCACAAAAGAATATACACTGATTCTGTTTTTACAAAGTTCAGTAACTGGCAACACTTCACTATTTTGTTTTAGGGTACATGGGTGGTAAACCTATAAAGAAGAGCAGGGAACTGTTTACCATAAAAGTCCAGATAGTGGTGACTTTAGGGGTTGGAGAGGTGGGGCGAGATAGGGAAGGGATAGATGTGCTGTGAGGGTGTTAGCGGTGTTTCTTATGTTGGGGCACGGTGTTTGCTTTATAAACTATTAAACTCTGTACGTGCATTGAGCACTTTATGTATGCCCTGTTTCACAATTCAGAATCATTTTGCCAATGTCGCCATGCATAAGAATTCTTCTAAATAAATTCCTTATGACTCATAAGTGAGCTGGGCCTCAGGCCCTGAGTCCTCAAGCATTTTGATGAGGTAGATAATCAAGGCACCTTAAGGTTCTTTGTTAATAGCCATACACCTTCTGCGTTCAGATGTTCCCAGTCAGAGCCCGAAGCTTAGGTTAAAAGTGGATACTGAATTCTGTTGGGTAACTGTTAGAGAAACAGACTGCCTTCTTTGCCTTCCTGTCCAGAATGAACACTGTTCAGTGCAGAGCCCTCGTGTGTCTCCAGAGTCTTGTATCCCTCCTGGATGTGGACCATCTCGGGGGACCTGCAGCCCTGCAGACACTTGCACAGCATCTGTCCCAGCTGCTTTTTTCTCAGCCAGGTAAACATTTAGGCCTCATTGTGAAAGACTATTTGGATCGAGCAGAGTTTTGAAGGGCAAGGAACTTGGACTTTGGCATCGTGTCATGCTTGTCATCCAGCCTGCAGAAACCTTTCCCAAGCACTAAGAGTCAGATTTATAGTTGCCAGCGGCATTGAGTCCAAACAACACACATAAGCTGGTCTATGGGTTATACTGTTATTTTTTATTAAAATTGCATCCAGTTATGTCAGGCCAATAAGGTTGAAACCACAAATATAAGTATTAGGCCCCATGAAGATATTTGCTTAATTCTCTAGTATTTATTTTTCTTCTTAAACATAAAACCATTTGATTTACATTTGATCAGGTAATCCGTACATCTGTTACAGAATTCACAAGTTATTAGAGGACGTAAAGCAGAAAGCCTCTCTCCTTTTCCTCATACCATCCAGTTCCTCTCCCTGAGTCAGTCACTGTTACGGTCTCTTGTGTGTTCTTCCAGAGAGATTCTCAGTATAAAAAGTATGCATGTGTGTTCTTAAGGCAAATGGTAGACTACCAGACATAGAGTATTGTACCCTGCTTTTTTCTAACATACTTCTTTCTTCAAGCACCTTTGCATGTAAGAGGTGTTACTAAGGTCTCTAATTTGGATTAATTTCATTTGTACACAGAAACCTAGAGAGATAATATATGTAGTTAACTATTCTTTCTAAATGGCCTAGCTGTACAAGGTCAATGCATGCTCCTCTACCAGGTTTTCATAGTTTGTGGTATTTGAATCTCATTTGACTTGGCCACATCGAATTAATAGCAGCTCAAACCAAACAAAAGAGACTGAGAGGGAGGGAAAAATAGTATTTTATATAGTAAAGTAAAATTCTCCACATTACCTACCCAGCATGCATGTCTGCAGTGAGGGTAATTGAGAGATAAGAATCTGCTGCTCTCAGCTCCTCAATTTCAGAGTGTCTTTAGGGAGTTTTTGAGGGTAAGCTTGAAGATATGTAATACTTGCTTTCTGCACTAACTTTAAAATTTCATCACCAAATAAGCTGTAACTCCACTGTGTAACATTCAGTGTAGTATTCATATATCTCATTGTAAACTATTTAACTTTTCTTCTTCTAAGACGCCACATTAAGTCAAGAGTTGTAACTCTTAGGGGACACATGGCTGGCTCAGACGGAGAGGCATGTGACTCCTGATCTCAGGGTCCTGAGTTCGAGCCCCACGTTGGGGGTAGAGATTACATACATAAATAAAACTTAAAAAAGGAGTTGAAACTCTTAAAAGATCAAAATATGGTCGCTTTTGACTAAATACAAGCTTCTATATAAACATTCATTCAGGAGTTGCTCCCCAGTTCTTTTTTTTTTTTCCTTAAGTGTTTTGTTGTTGTTGTTGTTTTTAAGTAATCGCTACACCCAATGTGGGGCTCGAACTCAATGACCCTGAGATCCAGGGTCGCACGCTGTAACGACTGAGCCAGCCAGGTGCCCCACTCCTCAGTTCTTCTAGACATCTATTTTTTTTTTCTTAAGATTTTATTTATTTGACAGAGACAGCGAGAGAGGGAACACAAGCAGGGGGAGTGGGAGAGGGAGAAGCAGGCTTCCCGCTGAGCAGGGAGCCCGATGCAGGGCTCGATCCCAGGACCCTGGGATCATGACCTGAGCTGAAGGCAGACGCTTAACGACTGAGCCACCCAGGCGCCCTATTTTTTTTTTTTAAGAGTTTATTTGAGAGAGAGAGAGAGCAGGGGGGAGGGGCAGACGGAGATGGAGAAGCAGGCTCCCTGCTGAGCAGGGAGCCCAACATGAGGCTCCATCCCAGGACACTGGGATCATGACCTGAGCTGAAGGCAGACGCTTAACCGACTGAGCCACCCAGGCATCCCTATTTTGCACTCTTATCAAGTTAATACAGGGTACTGTGCACTTAATAGTGCGTGTTTCAGAAGTTCTAGGTCAGTTTTTAAAAATAAAGTAAATGTTCAGAAACCCATATATAGTTATTGTTCTGTCTCTACCGACCTTCCAGCATTTGTCAGTCAGCAGATACAGTTTTCCGGTGATCTCAGGCTGTGCATTCTTTAGCTGGTGTGATCATGTGAAAACCGTGCCCAGCCACGCCTAAGACAGGATATAGACAAGACTGGGCAAGCTCTGGCTACAGAGGTGGCTTGTTGCTGTGAGCCGGCCCGATAACTATAGCTTTGTATTTGTCTCCCAGCTTTATAAACCAGGCAGAGATCTGGATGGCATGGGGGGGATGGGGCGGTTACTGGAGAAGGGATGTTTTATCTGACTTTTGCTAACATTCTGGCTCCTACCAACCCAGCGGAATGTCCATAGTGGAGGAGGGGGAGGGCTGCTATTGCTCAGGCCCAGTCCCTCCACCCCTTCACGTGGGTTCCCTGTAGGTTGCTGGGCCAAATGGGGTTGTGCACAGCCAGGCCCCTATGTGAGCAGGCCTAGCCTGTCACTACTTCCAGGACCTGCCTACCCTGAGGGAATCCTGTCTGCCTGACTGGCAGAACAAATTGCCATTTTTCGGTGGGAGTCCCAGGCAAGGTACCAGAAGCTCCCATGTCCAACCAGCGTAGAGTTTGTTGCACTTGCCCTAAAGCTCTCACGTTCTGTGCCTCTGCTGTACAGAAAACACGTGGGTGTGTCCCTCCCCGTTCAGATGGCTCTTTGTGGTCACTGATGCTTGCACATTTACACCTGGATGATCACAGGAAAATGATACCAAGCTCGGCCTTGGAGAAATAATGGAAAGTTTCTCAATTGTGGGAACATATCATTAAACACTTTATGTAAATTCCAAGTTCATGGGTATTGTTGACAGAACCTTTTCTTATCAGAATGAAATTTTCGATAAAGGATAATTGCTTATATTTAGAGATGGTATTCTAAAATTCCTTTGGAACATTGAGATTTATTAAATAACGTCATCTTGTGGGGTCTGTGTGGATAGTGTGAACCGTTACTGGAGAACTTTCTCGAGAGGATGGGGCCAAATTTTTCTAGCTTTTTGTGTTACCACGTTTGGACATTAAATGTATGAGGATCGTACAACTCTGCCTAACTTGAATGCTAATGTATTTTAATGCTAAAATTAAAAAGTATAAATTAAATTAATTAAATTAAATAAATTAAATCTTTTTCTGAATAGTTATAAAATTTGTGATACTGACATTTTGTTTTTTGTTGTTTTTTTTTTTAAGATTTTATTTATTTATTCATGAGAGACAGAGACAGAGAGAGAGAGAGGCAGAGGGAGAAGCAGGCTCCCAAGGAGCAGGGAGCCCGATGCGGGACTCGATCCCAGGACCCTGGGATCATGACCTGAGCCGAAGGCAGACGCTTAACCATCTGAGCCACCCAGGCGCCCCTGACATTTTGTTTGTGGCTGACATCAGAGATAAAAGGAGAAAGTTGTCAGTAGATTCTGGTCCTTGCATTCCCAGTGCATTAATATCTTTGTCTCCTTCATTAAAAACTATGGATCTTCAAACCATCAAGAAGATTTTAGCAATGTTGTGTCTTCAGATTGGGTCAATCTGTCATTTGCTCCATTGCATGGATTCTATAATCACTTAGGGTTCCCTGTTTTCCCACATTTGGGAAAGCAGAAAGCCGTTTTTTCATTATAATTAGGATGATAGTAACACCCGTTCTGGGATATGTTTCCTATTCTATATCAGAACATTAGAAATCAGTCTGAAAAAGTCACCTAAATAAAAATTTGCTGCTTGGCTACTTGTGGGTTGACTTATTTACCTACATTTAGGTGTGCTACAAATTCTTACGTGTTGTACAAAGTTGTTGAGGGGAAAGATGTTTTCAGTCACCTCTTTTGTTTAACTTCTGTTGACATTTACTCAATTTCTTTAACAGTACCACATGTGTTGACCTTTTACTGAAAATTTTTCAGAAAGGCAGGGTAGTTCGAAGCTTCTTTCCCAAATTTGGATAAATGACCAGAAATGTGAACTCAATAAAAATCACCCGAATGTTTTCCTTAATTTAGGGAGAGTATGAATTACACATAACATAAAACAGTAACGTGAATTAGATTAGGGTTTTGAATCTAAGGTAGTGGTTATTTTTCTAAGAATGCAAGACCAAAAAAATGCTTCTGAGTGTGTTCTAGTTAGTATTGAATGATTTCTTCATGATATAGTTTCATTGTTTTACGTGCACTTCATGAATTTCTAGGGCTACACTTCATAGCTGTAATCAAATATAAATACAACCTACTTTTTGAATTTTAGTAGTAACAACTTCACACCAATTTTTGAGTGCCTTTTGGGTACTAGGCTTTATGAGGGAGGCATTATTACTCTACCTTCCTGGTAAGGAAGCTGGGATTTAGAGAGGTTGAGGAACTCCTTCAGGGGCATTCATTCCTTTCGCACATACTTTTTTTTTTAAGATTTTATGTATTTATTTGACAGAGCACAAGCATGGGGAACGGAAGGCAGAGGGAGAGAAAGAAGCAGGCTCTCTGCTGAGCAGGGAGCCCGATGCGGGCCTCGATCCAGGACCCTGGGATGGTGACCTGAGCCAAAGGCAGATGCTTAACACTTAACCGACTGAGACACCCAGGCACCCCCAGCCCATACTTACTGACCACTCTGTGCCATGCACCACTCTAGGTCCGAGGGATACAGGTGCCAACGAGACAGGCAAGACCAGAATGCTCAGGAGTTTACAATGTCAGATGAATAAAGATGTAAATGTAATTTCGTCTAGGAAGATAAAAATAAAAGCAGAATTGGTTGACATGGTGGCTGGTTCCAAGGGCCTATTAGATGGGTTCACATGGAAAAAAAAAAAAAGATGGGTTCACATGGAAAGGGCTGTCTGAAGAGGTGACATCTGACCACAGGCTAAAAGGAGAGGTCACATAATGTCAGAGGCAGGATTCCATCCCAGATCTGTCTGATCCTAAAGCTATCCTAGTGTCCGTTCTGTGAAATTCACGGGAATTCCCTACTTCAGGACATAATGTATATCTGATCATGGGAGGCAAAAAATATAATAAGCTTTGATTTAGATTTGTGTGGAAGCTGCCTCATTCTCATGCAGGCAGCCCCAAAAGGGGCGCTGGAATCTTCATAGGGCCCCAGGCACCAAGGGGGCAGAAAGCCAAGGTATCTCTCGCATCCCCAAACTTTGTGGCTTAAAACAACAATAATCATGTGTTTTCTCATGGTTTCTATAGGTCAGGAATTTAGACAGTGCACAGTGGAGATGGTTTGTCTCTACTCCACAATGTTTAGGCCAGGTGTTCTCAACTAGGGGCAACCCCTGCCTCCGACACTGAACCTCCCCGCCCCCCCCGCCCCCCGCGGGGCCATTTAGAAATGTCTAGAGGCATTTTTTGTTGTTACAACTTGGGGGTTGCTGCTGTTACCTAGAGGGTAGAAGCCAGGGATGCTGCTAAATATCCTACAGTGTCCAGGGGATCCCAAAGAATTACCTGTCCAAAATGCCCATAGTGGTAGGGTTGAGAAAACTACCCTAGGGCTTCTGCTGGAAAACAAGGAGCCAGAATCATCTGCAGTCTTGTTCATGTTGATGGTTGGCTCACAGGGGCTGTCAGCCAGAACAAGATGACCTTGCCATGTGACCTAGGCTTCCTTATAACGTGGTGGCTGGGTTCCAAGAGCAAGAGTTGAGAGAAGAGAGCAAACACATGTCAGTCAGGTGCGAGTCAATGTTGCCTTTCATGAGTTAGCATGTCATGTTCATGTGTCCTGTAGGTTGATGTCACAAAGTACCCCCAGATTCAAGGGGTGGTGAAATAGACCGTTGTGGTTATTTTTGGACAATATAATCTACCATGGCAAGTCCATCGCTTTCCCTTCCCACCAAAGGGGTAAGAAAGAAAAGAGTAAAAATGAGCAGGAATGGGAAGGGGAAGTTGCGTCAGTAAATACAACTGTAGAAGCCACTGAAACCACGGAGGTATAGTGGCCCAGCCCTGCGCAAGCAACAGTTCCTGGCTAGGCAGTGGGTTTGGGTTGGCCAGGAAGAACTCTGATTTGGGAGACATCGCCATGTGAGGTCTGCCCAGCACCGTGATGGCAATCTGTGAAAAGCTGAATTCTGTCTACGAAAGCTAGCTCAGGTGTATCATGTGCTAAAGAGCGAGGTAAATGAAAATCCAGTGCCTAGAAGGCAAGGACTGTCTGTAGAACGCTCCCTTGTTACGGTTATTTCAATTGTGGACATCTTTTCAAAGTCAAGTATTCAGTTCACAGGGGGCTGTTAACTAGAAGTCTTGGCTTAACATCAAAAATGTTTTAATTATAATAGCATATATTAACATTTAACATGTGTTTTGATTCTGTTTTTTTTTTTTTTACAAAATAACTTGTCTTAGAGAAAGACAAATTTATATTTCACTTTTGTGTTTTAGATTTTGCTAAGCATGTTGACTTTCTAGAAGCCATAAGTAGTGCCTTGAGGGCCCTTTTGCAAACAATGGCCTCCAAGAACATTTCTCAGGTAAGATTTTTAAAAAATTTTATATGAAACCTGCAAAGATTCTCTATTATGGAAGCAAAATTCATTACTTAACTGTTTGTAGTTTTTTATTTTATTTTATTTTATTTATTTATTTTTTTTAAAGATTTTATTTATTTGACAGAGAGAGACACAGCGAGAGAGGGAACACAAGCAGGGGGAGTGGGAGAGGGAGAAGC